GGACGCACCAGCAATGGCACCCGCCGCCGCGGCATCCTTCGTCGCACCAGCAACGTGCGCGGGGTGGCTGGGCCTGTTTGCCGCATTCGCTGCCGCCCCTTCCTCCCTTGTCGCCGCTCCCTCTACTGCCGGCGCCTAGGTCAAAGGCGCCCACATCGGCGGCTGTCTCCCAATCTCCTGCGGCATGTTGACGTCCCTCGAGTGCACAGCGATGCGCATGGTCGGGGTCGCTGGCCGCCCTCGAACGTCCCTCCCAGGAACACCGCCTTCCTCATCCGCCCCCGCCCCGTCGTTGCCACGCGCAACCCCTTGACCCACATCTTTGCTGTCGTTGCCGCCTTCGTGTCCGCTCACCATTCGCGTGGTTGTCAGATCGCCCAAGGTCCCTTTCCTGCCCTGAAACGTGTCCCCCTCGGATTCAAAATTGTCGCCCTCTACGCTGCTGGCCTCCGCCACCCACCCTTCCCGCGCGGACCTCCCTATCACCAGAGCACCGCCGCCTAAGCCCTTCGCATTCTTCGCCTGATGCCTCCCGCGCTTCACGGCGGTAGCACCTTCCGTTTGCTGGCAATCCCTCCCCCTTTTCCCCTTTCCTGTGTTGCGAGTGTTCGTCATGACGCATTGCTAAACGACGATGATGGCGGCCGTCTGGTGGACACGACTGGTGAAGGCGGCACAACTTGGCGCTCTGTGCGATCAAGTAAACAGACGGCGCGGTGCTCACGACGATGCATAAGATCTGACAGCACCGCGCGAGCCGCTACGACGCTCTACCGAACGACGATGAAGACGCGCGCGCACGAAGATGGAAGGGCGAGATCCAAGGCGGCGACGCAAACGTCGCCAAGGTTGACTCCTCGCAGTGATCAGTGGTCCGGCGAGAACGGCGGCGGCGAGAAGAACAATCCGCCACGACGTCTGGCGAGAGTGATGGCGCGGATACACACACCCACTGGCAGACGCAGAGCGAGGACGCGGAAATTTGGCGAGGGTAGGTGTACGGCGGCGGAGTGCTGTGATCTATGATCGGTGGATGGCGCCCGCGCTGTTTATAGGCGAAACGCGCACGTGTCGAAGGTACTGTGTCGCCGTGCGGAGCAGGGGCCGTGTGCAGGTTGGCGACAGCCTGGTGGGTGCGGCCACTGCGGAGGGCAGGGATTCACTGGATGAATGCTTTTGCACCCCCTTTTCCCCCACACCTCCTGTCGTTGTGCGGGTTCCCATGAAACACGCCCCCCAACAGCGAACACCCCCGCCTTCACATGAAGGCAAAACGGCAAAAAAAAAAACTCTCCACACCACCTGGCACCCGTCTCATGCAGTTTCATACGCAGGCATGCACAAAAACACAACAAAATCCGAAATAGAAACCCAACTTTGAACGACGTCAGCATGCAAAGGCAGACATTAAATGGCTTGACATAAATAGAGTTGCCCATACATCAAGTGCCCAATGAAGACGACAGGCCAAACATAGAACGTGGTGGTAGGATACATGTGGTGGCTGCAAGAACGCAAATATCAAGCAGTGAAGAAAGTCCAAAAAAATGACCACACTGCACAAAGAAAAATTGAAGGCTGCGAGATATAAATGACAAATCTCTCTCTCTCTCTCTCTCTCTCTCTCTCTCTCTCTCTCTCTCTCTCTCTCTCTCTCTCTCTCTCTCTCTCTCTCTCTCTCTCTCTCTCTCTCTCTCTCTCTCTCTCTCTCTCTCTTTCTCTCTCTCTCTCTCTCTACATCTCCCGCTCTCCCTTCTGCCCTGTCGCCGTACCGACGAAAGCGGGATCACCAAAAGCAGCAAACTTTAAACTGTCCATGGAATTACTTGGCAAAGTAAAGAAACGAACAAAACCTTCGTCGCCGAACCTTCACCGCCCACGTTCGTCATACAACTGTGGTCACATCATCCGACCGCCTGCCGATTACGATCACACTACCAGCATGGTCTAATTGATAAATACAGATCTAGAAAGTTACGCATCGGCACTGCGTAATGGAAGAAATCCGCGGTGTAAAAGGACAGACCGACAGCAGAGCGTGCACAGGAGGCAATGTACCTGTCTTCTACAAACACTAACAATTAACAAGGCTATGGAATGAAACAGAGCACGAGCAGATGGGGCAGCTTTCCGACTACTGTGGACGACAACTAATTCAAAATGAATTGATGGCCATAGCCTCGCAATGACCTCTGGCAGACGCTGCCGTCTACCGCTCTCGTATAGCCTTCGCTATTTCCAGCAGCGCCTGACACATAAGCTTGCTAACTTCAGTAGAGGCAGCGCAGTGTTGTTTCTGGATCTCCACCTCCGCTTCGATAGCTTCACACTGCCGAATTGGAATGGAGCATTGCCTCTTGCTCGCGCTCTCCATCGTCGACGCCATCAACACCCCATGCTTGTCCATGCTCTCCGCCAACGCGTCGAATGTTTGCTTCCGCACATTCTTTCTCTTCCCTAACCCGGCCGGACTGCCACTCGTGTGTGAACCCCCCCGTGCTGAGGTGTCGTCTTCGTCGATGCCATCAGCGGCGGCATCCCCATCCCCCACAGATTCCCGAGGCGCCGACTGAGCAGATGCGAGTTGCACACCCCCTGCGCCACCGATGTCTGCAACATTTGTCGGGCTGACAGTGTGGCTCCTCTCCTTCGCCCCTTTGATCTCGTCGTACATCGCGCGATCCATGGTGAAGTTGAATCCTTTGTCTGCCCTCTGCTGACTTGTCAACTGGAAGAAGTCCTCCCTCCCCGACGTGCCCATGAAAAGGTGCACCTTTTTGAAATGTTGCATGAGATTGTCCCATTTTTTTCCGCATTTGTCAGCCGGCCTGTCGATGCCGACCTTCAGCAACCTCTTCCTGACGTCCAACCATTTCCACTCCCTCGAACGCATCCGAGTGAAGCTGTGGCCGGACGCTTGCAGCTGGGCGTCTTGATCCCGCTTCGCCCTGATGAGGGACACCATGTGTTCCACGGACCAGAAATTTCGGCCTCCCTCCCCATCCCCCTCGCCCTCCGCATCCGTTGAGCCCGCGGACGACCTCGTCCGCCTCCGCACCGCAGTCGTCGAAGCCCTGCCCCTGCCGCCCCTTCCACCCATGTTTGGCGCACGCACCGGGAAGACGTCGGCGGTGTCGTCCTCCTCCACGTCGCACTGAAATTCGTCGGTGGTTGTCCACACGTCACCAACCCCACCGACCACGTCTGCTTGCTCACTCCGCTCACCCACTCGTAATCGCTGCACACCTTGCGTTATGGAGTCTTCTTGCTGCCGCCGCAACTCCTTCCTCACCTCCTTCCATATCCGCCTGCCATCTCCATGCGCGCCCTCCAAAGGGAAGTCTTCGTGAGTCACACCCCGATCCACGAGGCGACGAACGCTGTCGCGGCCCCGGACGACGGAGGAGGGAGGTTCTTCCACTCAGGACGCTGGCCGACAGTGCGTGGAACTGACGCCCGAGAAGTCGCCTGCGTTCGAGGCCATGCCGTCGTCTTCCCCGACGTCACCTCTGCCGCCGCTCCGCCCCTCGTGCCCCTGCCACCCAATGTCACCTGCCCCGCGTCGTCGTCGGGATGAGGGTTGACGACCACAGTGCGCGTGGCTGAAGATGGGCTCCCGCTCTGAAGGCCAAATGTGAGATCTATAGGGGGGAGGCATTCCTCCTCCTCCGCACCTTCGTGGAGGAGGGAAGTGAACGACTGCCCGTACTTCGCTGGGCGCCGATCATACAACTGGCTACCCGTCCATTCCTGGGTTGAACCACTACCCAGCGGAACTGTCCTGGACACGTCTACCTCCGCCTCCCCCTCGTCCGAATCRGGCAGAGGTTGCAAGTGAGGCGGCAGTCCTTCGTACGGTGATGGACCTGCCGCCCTTCTGTCTACACCGGTACAGATCGGAGGCCGGTCATCGGGATAAGGGGCGGACAACGTGCTCAGATTCGGCCGCCTTCTGTCCATGGCCACACTCTTCCTCGCCCGCCCTTTCCTGCGACCACGTGAAGGCAACCTCCCCAATATGCACACCTGAACAAATACCACAACGAGAAGCAGAATCACGGCGAGGAGGAGCAGCAGCAGCTTGCGGAACACGTCGGCCATGTAAGACAAGCGTTCTCGCAAGGGCAAGTAACGACGCCAACGCACCACAGCGTAACGGCCACCCTGAGGGCGACAAACAGCAGACGACAAGTGATGACTGACGCCGCCCTCCGCCGGTTTACATTGCGGACAGCTGCACTCGGCGACAGGCGTACAACGGGGTCATTTTCGAAACGGCTGGCCGTTGGAGGCCTTTCCGTTTCCCGCCCCCACGCGTGAGGGGCTGGGCTACCTCGGGCCCTCGACGGAACCCGCCCGCCAACCGACCTGACCGTTGTCACCGTTCCCACCGAAGTCGAACGTTGCCGGCCGGTGATGTCCGCCCGCACCTCGGCTGGACCACCGTTGTACCACACTCCATAATTGTGACGCCGTCGAAGGTCGCCGCCGCCGTCCCGATTTTCGCGGAAACTCCCGCTCCGAGGGACCTCGCGAGGTGCCTTGGGGAGCACAGCCAAATGGCTGTGGCCCGAGGACGCCCCAAGGACTCCCCGAGGAAATGTTTTCACATCGATTTCCAAGGAACTCTCTCCGAGGACAGATGGAACGATTATTTCCTCGGGATCTTTGAGCGCCGGAGGAGTGTCTAACGAGCCCCGAAGACAAAAGAAAAAATACAACACTTTTTTTTTTTTTTTTTTTTTTTTTTAGAACACTGATCCTCAGGTGCTGAAATTCTCAAACACATCACCGAAACTTCAGTTGCGGCTGGCTTGGTGGAAACAGGGGTCCAGGTAAGGGTGGGTGGGTGGGTGGGGTGGGTGGCAGAAATGGGAAGGGTGAAGTGGGATGAAGCTACGGAAAGGGGCAATGAAGAGGTCCGCAGGGATTATAAGTTGTTATTTGAGGACTGGGCAACTGAAGACCCTTCCATCATACCCCCTTGCATGCAGCGTTGGACTTCCCGGATCCCTTTCTGCCAAAATAAGACCCCTCCTAATTGTAAAAAGTTGTACACCACCCACGTAAGCCCCCCATTTATTTTTTTTATTTTATTTTTCTCCCATGCTAATCTTCTCTGTATCGTTCCAATTTTAACGGATGTCCCGAAGGACAAGCCCCCCAGTTTTCTTATAACCTAAACCTTTGATTCTCAATTTGACTGACTTCTTTCCTAAAATGGAAAATACCAGCACGCGCTACATTCTCAGCATTATCTTGAGCTGCATATAACTGGTCGAACAACGAGGAAGATTCTTTTTAGGAATGACGAGGATCCTGGTTTGGGTATATGAGTGAATTGTGATAAAATTTGGAATGATGCTAGTCTACGATCGTAGGAAAAGGAAAAAAGCGGCTCATGGCGCTGAAGGCGAGGATGAGAGCTACTGTCTCCACCCAAATAGAATGCTTGGTCATTATCGTTGCATGTGGACTGCCAGTTGGGCCAAATGCAGCTATGATGACTGGGCGTCCTATTCGGGTGAAGACGGTAGGAAGAAAAGTAAGGTCGCCGTCATCTCTTGTTGTGGGACCATGGGTCGAGTCCTATAAAGAGCGCAACCCACGATTTGTGTCGCTAAGACATCGCAACGATGTGCTGCACTCACAGAAAAACTGCCAGTGATATACTGGAGGAAGGTGGGGATGACGTAAAGTCTGCATGGCGCTTATGGACGGGGCCCAGAAATGGTGCTTTTGTTTTGTTCTTCATTTGTTGTTCATACATTGTGTATCTGACCGCAATCACAGCAAATAGGGATGTTTTCTTTTGTTTTGTTCTTCATTTGTTGTTCATACGACAGAGAGCCGCACTGAGGGCACACTGTCAGGGCATACTCACACGGCGACCCCTTATGCGGATTTGGGAAGGGGCCCATTAGAGGTTTTGGGCATGGTTCACTTCACACTGCTGTACCTTTTCAGATGGGACAAGGCCCTGGCCGTCTGGAGAAAGGGGGATTTGGTACTTGGCTGGTCACACGGCACCATCCAAAAATTGTGCAAGAACTTTTGTGAATGAATTTTGGCCAATTTTTGAAGAAAATGCAAAAAAAAAAGGGCATTCACCGTCACCTCCAGAGGTGACCGCAAAATCCCTTGCCCCGCGGCTTCCCAGGCCGCTGACAAATGGGCACTGGAATACTACATTTGCGAATTTGGTAGATCCGTGTGACCGGCCTTTTACCCTTTTTTTTTGGGATTTGGGGATTATAGGTCCCCGTGTGAGTATGCCGTCAGTCACATTAGCACCTCATAGAATGTATCTGATGGCTATCACAGCCATAGGGAAGTTTGTATTTCCTTTTTTTTTTTTGTACTTTTATTTTAAAAGGGCGACGACCTTGAGATATTATCATTGACCTGACCGGCCCCAAACAATTCATTAGTAGTTGGTTTGTATTCATCAAGTTCCATCATCTGGATTCGAACACAGCACCTGGTCTGTATTTCAACAGTTCCTGCGTGTGGTCCCCACTGAGCTAGGCTCTCGGGTGAAGTTTGTATTTCTGTTCTTCTTCCTTCGTTTTTTTTCCCCTTTCCTCGATCTTTTTTTGGATGCAACTGCCGCGAGTACCGGACAAGAAAATACGATGGGACCCAGGCTCGGCAAAACTCTGTGCGCACTGCGCAGCGAATTTCTGGTTCGGAAGAAACAGGATCAGAGGTGCTGGTGGTTTTAAACTACTAGTACTTCCTAAAGCAGTGGCCGTTAACAAGTCACGATTTTAGGAAACGTACGTATGGGCCACTACAGGAGAGACCAAATTCATCTGACTAGAAACGTTTCTACTCTATTTTTTTCCACAGCCGATAGCTGGGCCAAGTACTTCTCTATTGAGGTTTAAGCTTTCTCTTTAAATTTGAGGTTCAACCCTACCCAAGGTCAAAAAAAAAAAAARAAAAAAAAAAAAAAAAAAAAAAAAAATAAAGGTCATGAGCCCCGTAGCTTGCTGTCGTTACAACGACGTGTCTATATCCACACAAAGAACTTGAAGCACACTGTTCAGGTTTCCAGCAGGTGCTGGTCCCCACCAGTAGATGGAGGCTCCCGGACAGTGCTAGTGGTGGTGCCTGCTCGTATCAGCACCCCTAGGTAGCATCCGCTCTGGTTGTTCTCTGTAAAGCAGGCCCTCGTAGAATGCCCCCTTCTGTGGGGGCCTCCATTCTCTCAGTGGGGGGCGTCACCCTATTTTGGTGCAAAATGTGCACGCTTGCAAAGGTGCCCCTCGTAGTATGCTCCCTTTTCTACGCCCATCCTACAGTAGTTTGCTGCAAAAGGTGCCTTGTCTTTCATCCATTTCAGATCCGATTCGGTGTCTGCGATGGCATGGGTGGATGCTTGTGTGGCGAGCAATCGGGGGGCCAGGGAAGGAAAGCCACGGCAGGGTTGGGAGGGGGGAGCATGGGATGGGGGGAGGGGTTTCTGGAGGGGTTGGACAGGTGAGGGGTGGCGAGCCCCGTGGTAGAGGGGGAATGGTGGGTTGCAGACTGAGTGTGTGGTTGGGCTGTTAGGAGGGGCCAGGGAGGAAGTGCGGGCAGAGGTTGGGGACGGGGTTCTGAGGGGGGTGTCTGGTGGGTGAAATTTGTTGGGAATGAAGTGCAAGAGAAATGGTTCGGCGGACTGCCTTTCCCGATCGGGTTCTGTGACTTGCCATGGTTTCCAAATGAGGGTACTTTTCTGATGCATGTCCCTTTTTTTTTTCTTTCTCTTCTTTACTTTCTGTTTTTTTCCTTTTTCTTTTTGATCGGTCACGTATTTTTGTGGCCGGATCCATCCCAGTTCAGCTCGAATAGATCAATCAATATGTTTGGTTGTGTCTTTGGTCACTCTGTTTTTTTTTTTTTTTTTTTTTTTTTTTTCGAGAAAGGACGCCGACCTCGAGATATAATCATTGAGCTGACCGGCCCCCAGGCAATTTATATATATTTGGTTTTACTCGTGATGTGACATCATCTGGATTCCAACATGGGTCTGTATTTTGACAGTTCATAGGTGTAGCCACTGGGGCGAAGTCCCACTACGAGGAGGGTTGAGTTTCCTAAATGCCGGAATGTGGACGTGTTTGTGGAGATGTGCAGAAATTGCTTTGAGGTTCCTCAAGGTCAGCAAATCCTCACAAACACGTCCACATTCGGGCATTTAGGAAACTCAACACTGCTTGTGGGACTTGGGCCCTGGGTATTGAGTCTACTGACGGCCTATTGACATTAGCACTTAGTCTATCTGAAATGTGCCTGACGCATTTGTGGCCTGACCTGGATGTACCTGGATGCACCTGGATGTACCTGGATGTACCTGGATGCACCTCCCGACCGCATTTTTGTGGGCGGACACCTCGATGTGGCTGACCGTAATTTGTTCAGGAATAACTACTAGACTAGGGGCATGGTCCCACTAGCAACCGGATAGGATAGAAAAGAGTTTGTGTGGCAGTTGAGTGACCCAAATCCTGCGGTGCAGTACTGGTGATCCCACGGTCAGTATTTTACATGTATTACCCGAAAAAGTTAGGAGATCTTGGTTCCCCTCCTCCTCTCCTTAACACTGGGCATGGCCGTGCAAAGAGAGCTTCCCGCCAGAATCTTTTCTATCGGTTGGGGGCTGTGGCCAACCCCAAACAAGGTTGGGGTCGGCCTTAGCCCACTGGGTAGAAGATTTTCTGCATTTTACTTGCTGTTGTGCAATTATCTCATTGGGTGGAGCCCTCCTTCAATCACCGAGTATATAGAGGGCATCAGGATCACTGCTGACAGAAGTCGAGTTTATTCCAGAAAATGTGGTAGTTACTTTCTGCACTGTTGTTGCAACCACCACCACCAGATCATTTTCATTTGTGATCTGATGGCTGGAAGCACTCTGCCGTGATTTCCGCTGGGAGGTCTCTGTTTCTTTTTTTTTTTTTTGCCTTTCTCCAGTTTTCTCACCCCAGAAATTCGTAATGAACCTGTCAGGCCGCTGCCACTCAGTGTCACACTGGATCGGCCACATTCCTATCCGACTGCTAATGGGACCACACCCCAGGTTACTGGAGTGGCCTGGGGCCACTTCCCGACCAGGCCGAAAAGAGAATTTTTTTGTATTTTTTTTTTTATTTTTTTGTTGTTGTTAACTTGTTGAATTTGACAAAGAATTTTGAGGCTGCTTTTTCAAGTACTTTTCC